GCAACCCTGGCCCGACGGCTCTACCGTCTGTCTCTACGGACGCTGGCTCTGATTGGTTGTGAACATGGAACAATATTCCAGCATCAGGGGCGTCTCCTCTGAGTATTAAGTTTGTGTATTGTTCCTGGGGATAAAAGCAATTGAATAAATGAACTGTACTGTATACCTTCGTATATCGTGTTCTCGATAGAATATGTCTCCATGCATTCTTCATACGAAAAATCAATTAATGAATCACTTAAAATGTAAACCATTATAAGTAAATCCATTTCTGAAACCTTTGTTTTAATAGTCTGAATGTTAACTAACAACCCGTCTTATGTTATAGTACTGATTAAGAGCACTGGAAACAAGCCTTTTTGCTAGTATTATCTCGTCCTTCTTCCATGAGGAAGATATGTGTGTGTGTGTGTGTGTGTGTGTGTGTGGGTGTGTGATTGCCCAGAAAAGTAAAATAAATAAACAAATAAATTAAATACTTGAGTAGAAAACATATAACCCACCTGCTGTATGTTAATTTCTATTCGGAGGCCATTGCCAATACCTGCTTGGTCCTGGAACAAGTTTCTCGATGGATCATCACCACTATTAAATGTGTAGCAGTTTCCAAATTCGGTAAATACGTGTTTGAAGTCCTGAAATGCGTAAGCATTGTGTTTTACTCGTCGCTCCCATATTAATACATTGGTGGGTGCATTATCCATTAACATTTGAAGATATTATTTGCCCTAGCTTATATTTTTCTTTAATAATTATTCAAAATAACGATGTTTCGTCGAGCGTGCAATCAAACATCTCAGTCACCAAGCGACGCACGGCGAAACTACACACGTACGTTGCAAATTAAGTTACGACGCCGTAAATAAGAACATTACAAAGCAGGCATACATACCGCAGTAATATTGCAATCTTCACCTCTAAATGTGCACCGCGCGTTTCTTTCATTAAGAAGCCACCCTTTGTCTTTGGTGAAGTTAGCAAAGGTGTACCCACTGCCGTACCATGCGGTCATATTCAGATTCTTTATGTTATCCAGGTTAATATGTGCGTATGCCCTGGAGTTCTTGCTGGATAGAGCAGCGAGATACAGTGTAGCGCCATTTAAATACAATCTGTCCATAGTGTTCAGTCGTCTGCCTACATATCTGGAAATATTCAAGGTTTTAATCGAATCTATTCACTGATAGCTGTAAATGAAAGATCTTGATTTAGTACTGGATTGGTATTTGCCTGTCCCTTAATTCATAGGACTGGTATTCCATTTTGCGTTCTGAATCAAATGTTGTTTCTACTGCCGTTATTTAACTATAAACCACCAAATCTGTGTAAAACACTTAGTGCACGAGAAGTTCAATTTACATGTTAAACTTAACATACGGTTTTGTATTACAACGTCTGGAAGGACCGCAGACAAGTCATCTCATTATAGTGTTAGCTAAATGTGGTTCATGTTAGACATTTGGTAGTGCTAATGGTTCCTTGGTTGCTTTCGCTCTTAATCAACTCTGTGGTTCTTCCCCGTATTGTGAATAGAACTAAAATCTAGCATATAACATTAGCGTAATTTGTATAATATGCATAAAAGTAGGATTGATTGAAATGTTGTGGAAATGACTTTATATAAATAGCGATTTTATAAACATACAGGTACATGTACAGTATAAGACAAGCAGTCTATAGACATATCGCCAATAACGTACCTGTTATAATTACAAATTGTAACAGCGGGAAAGCTGAGGGAAGTGTTGAATACCATTGACGTTTTGGTTACCGTGTCTCGGCGAATAAAAGCCGAAAATCTCATTTCAATCTGTATAGTAGCGACGACGAAGCCTGCCACTATTAAGATTATCCACAGTGCCTTCATCACCAGGTGGCGACTCTGTGCAACACGGGCAAACCCATGAGCGCTGGTGGAAGTGGCAAATTCTCCAAGGGAGACCCTTTTCTCGTCTGGGTCGTCGACCTTTTTCATGGCGCTGGAATATTACTAAATATTTTACGGTGAGAGGCATATAAAATAGATGATTATAGTTACCATGTTGGTATGATTTGGTGTATTTTGTACTAAAAAGTGATTTTTTTGTACAGCATACATTTAAACACTATAGGGTGCTTACTCTCATTTACTTACATCCATAAATATAATCCAATTCACGGACAGAGCATGTTTGCCTATTTAACAGCGCACAATTGTTCCATATTCCTTATGTATGTTTTTGCAGATTTTTGTAAGTCAAATACAGCTGCGGTGTTTAAATATCAGCACGTATCTACAGTATACCCTGAAATTTGGCATGTGAAATCAAGCATGCAACAAAAGCTATGGATATCATTTATTATTCGGAATGACACTTTTTAACTCTATTAATTTCTGTTTGAACAATCGGTTATATAGGTTTTGCACACGCCTTATATACACATGCCAGCCTCAAAGAAGTGTAGTCAGTGTAATTAAATGGTTAGTTTAACTTGTACTGATTTTTTCGTATTTATTTTCAATGATTGTATAAACTCCTTAAACTAACTCTATAAACTCTACTTAACTCCTTTGAATTTTGTATCCAGCAACCTACTTTAGAAAATTAAAGTAAAAGAAAAAAAATAGATAAAGTAGTATACATTCATGCCCCCTGTCACACCTCATACATTGTACACCCGGTTATTATAATTGGAGAAAGTGGGACCAAAGTATGTTTGGCAAGTCAAATGTCATTTCCACACACACACACACACACACACACACACACACACACACAGACAGACACACACACACCTTCTGATATGATATCCAGTATTATATCTGCCAATGAGTAGCTGCATACAATACTAACAAAACTAATAAGCTGCTTAACACCACGTCTAAATCTAAGAATTATAATTTGTCAAGTAAAGTAAAGGATGCATTGAACAGCGGATTTAAAACACACCAGTTGAAAATGAAGACATTTGAGCAGTGGCAGGGTAGAAAAGGAGCCCAGTCGTGTATAGGTGTACCTCGGTAAGTGGCAGAATGCTCAACAGAAGGGAGGAAAGCCAACATAAGTTTAAAAGATTCTATAAAAAGAAAAAATGCGTTTGTGGAAGATGTAATGTCGGTGCAACAAAACTTTTTCACAGAACAAAAGCTTACATTAGAGGGGCAGAGTTCCACGAAGTAGTCTCTTCGTGAAATGCTCAGCTGTGGTGGTACATGTACGTCTTGGTGAGAAGAAAATATGGAAAGACGTTCAAAATACTGGAGTTTAACTAACAAATAGAAGACAGGTAAAGGGAATGTATTAAAGCACTAGGTAATGGCAGTCTTTTGTAACATAGACGGTGTACAAATAGTGAGGAAAGACACTTCTTCATATAATCTGTCATTAACTTCAGTCACAGCACTCCTTCATTGTATGCGACATACAAAACGATCTCATACAGTGGACGATGGCAAATGCTTGTAACTGACTAATCCCACGACTGGCGCTTCGAACAAAGGACAACTGCACTTGCATTTCACTTAGAACGCATTGAATTGAAACCTCTCGTAAGTGAAATGCAGGTACAACTACATGTAGTAAAGCACTTAAAGAAAGCAGACCTTCAACTAGTCAGATGCAGTCTCATTACTACTTAATTGATCATTGGCTCACCACCAAAATATACTCGATTGCTACTTGGCCCGACAGTTTTTGAAAAATTCATCAAATTCCGTAGCCTCCTTGGCGGAGGTTCATGTAGTCTTCTTATTGTTCGAAGGAAAAAACCATTGGATAAGGATGAAAAACTTTAAATCAGTAACTGAAGTGCAAAATGTTTACATTATGTCAGATCATCAACTTAATGCAGCCTAGACGTATATATCAAGGTCTAGTTATTTTTTCCTTTGGAAATATTTTTTAAAAATATGGTATATGCGTATTGTAATTTACTTTTTAGAATACATGTACCTCTCTTAACTCACTTTCAGTGCATATACTGTATGTTTAAATGCACTTGAGAGGTGAGACGCTGATAAAATAAATATATATAAATGTTGTTGGTTACGCTGATTTAGAAATGTTATACAGAAATACCGCTTTGTATAATATACCTCATTGAAATCCGTTAGCATACTTGTATATTAACCACTCACAATCCAGTCTTTAGTATCGTAAAAGAACAATTAAATGTAAGTTATAAAATAGGTTTTAATGAAACAAAACACAATGCACAACAAAATAATGGTTCTAAACACAGAACTATACGCCACAGGTTCCGGTCCATAGCAGTTAACCTTTAATTCTATGAATAAGTACTTCATAATGAATCTAAAAGAACTAAGAGTACATTTCTTTTTGCAAGCAATATTGTTTTCAAACGGAGGTCATTCACAGCATTAATTATCTTACCGTAGGTCTAACAGTGGCGATCTGTGAAGTCCAACGTGCAAATATGTATTAAGTGTAAGAAAATACACCTCTTACATGGTCGATGTATACAATACGAATGGAATATATGTAACAGGCAAATGTAAGAATGATGTTAATACAACAGGCTATCCACAAATTATAAGAGGAAAAGTTTTGTTTCTCAGACAAAATTTCAACCCATTATGTTTTTTTTCTTTTTTCATTTTTTTCTAGAACTGGTACGCATTTTCCCACCAAGTTCACAAACGAGCCACATCTCCGCAAAGTATGTGCTGTATACGAGCGATCACATCATTATCATCAAGTCAATTGAAAAAAGTCTATAAGCGTGTGAATATCACTAAAATCAACAAGTTACTACATCATTAGCGAAAATGCCCCTTACCTTCCGTTTCTAACAAGTCATTCACTGCGCCAGCCAGTCACGGAAAATGCTCTGTGTAAGGAGCAAATACGATTATATAGTTATTATTTCCCCAACTCTTCATGTTACGGCTCTGGCATTATTTATTTCTTTGTGTGTTGCCTCACACCATGACACCTGTATTGACTACTAGAGTTGTTCTGTTTCTACGGTGTACTCATGCTTTAAACAGTAAATAGTAGTGCTTGAGTCTTTATTTAATTGATTTCCTAGCAGCTGTTTACATAAATACATCTCTCACATGCTCTACAAATGAAACCTTTGCAACGTCATGATTTGACGTGCTTTTCTTCATATATTTTTTCAGGTTGAATAATTGATGTTAAATGAGGATTTTAAATCACTGGTATCGTGGTGTAGTGACTGCAAACAAAAATGAGGGGATTAATATTGTGACGCTTCGTCAACTCAGCTGCGAATTGAGCTGCTGATATTAGCTTATTCCGGGAAAGTTAAAAGGTTTATAAGGGATTTTAGATTTATAGTAGAGTCAATCAGTATATCAGCAATTTTTTTTACACAGGGCGTATTTATAAATTCTTTTAATTGCCAATTCCGCATATACATTCCGACTTAATAGTACATGTACATGCATTTGCGTTCAAGACAGTGGCTATTGATCCTGTACGTATAAGTATGGGGATTTATATAACATCCAATTGTTCAAGTTCTTAAAACATGAAACTGGCAAAACCGATCCAGATATATGCAAATATATGTGTGTGTGTGTGTGTGTGTGTGTGTGTGTGTGTGTGTGTGTAAAATGAGAGAAATGGGAAACTTATTGTACAAAAAGCTGATTTATTGTTGTCATTTTTGTTTTAAAGAAACAAGGAGAACCTTTACATTGTTAGCTGATGAAAACCATGAAAATGAAGGACTGCCATCCTTTGTCATACGTATCATTCACCCTCTATGACCATCCTGATATTGTAGAAACTACAGCCAGGGGCTTATTTTCAGAAACTTCAGTCGACGTTTGTGGATAAATATAAAATGTTTTGAGAAAAGTGAATCAGTTTAATATTTTGCAGGTAAATTGTAAATTTTTGTTTCATATAAAGAATATCCCACTGCTGTGCTCGTTATTTTATAGTAAATGCATACACATATATGTACACCAATAAAAGAAATGTACTGCATGCACTACTTCTATACAGGTTATCACATCTCATTCATGATAACTCTCTTAAATATATGTATTGCAAACGACGGATTTCAGCATGAATTAAAAATAAATCTATGATTCCCTTCAATGGTCTCCTCACTTATATTCTTTTATTTCACCCCCCCCCCCCCACCCACCCACCCGGTTTTTTCCACCTCCAGAATTATTGAAGTACCTCATAATCACTCTTTCAACGAATTTTGATTCTGGTGAATAAATGTATTATGGTGAAGCAAAATCGCTCCACTGCAATGCAAAACTGCCTAGAGATAAAATACGTTTGGGATGAAGGAGAAGCGAGGCGATAAACGGAATGGAAGATAAATTGCGCAATTCATCTTTATGGATGCATACCTTTTCCAAATTAGTTCTTTCTATTTTAGCCTTATCTTGTTTTCTTCCAAAATTCAATATTAATAAAATTGTTTAGGTGAAATTGCAAGTATGAACTACGTCTATGTTACAAGCGCATCAATTCTTTTGAATACAAATGCTGCGTACATCATGGAACGCTGCAAGTCATATCCGTATACTTCACTCCTCCTTCTTTTCATTCTCAGACTCCTTTGGTAGGTTGCGTTTCCTAATCATGTCCATTTTGGCGAGAATGATAGCTGGGTTCATTGTGTTTATTACGATATAATCTGACAGGGGCGCAGGAAGATAGGACACCGCAGTAGCAAAAGCACCATTCGGTCCGTATCGTGCGTAGGGATACCATGACGTCATTGCGTGAATGTAGTCGTTGACAACCCAGTCGACGTTAATGCAGGCATGGGCGTCTCTCGCTTCGAACAGACGGGTTTTCACTAAAAAATAAAATCATAGACGCATATTAAACGTCAATTTACAGTACATACAGCGCATTTTATAATTCTTTTTAGTTTTGATTAATCTTGGGTATGAGAGCAGTTGCTGCAAAGCAATTCGATATCAGTAATTGTGCATATGGATGTATTTATAATAACAAGCACTAGTAAACGCAACAACTTACATGCCAAAGACAAAAATGGGTTACTAGTGTGTGTGTGTGTGTGTGTGTGTGTGAGAGAGAGAGAGAGAGAGAGAGAGAGAGAGATTTTTACAAGTACTGACAAAAGTTAAGTGACACAAGCTCAGTCCGAAATGCCTACCGTCCTGCATGAAATCTTTATTATATTCCTGTTGCGCCTCTGGCGGTGCTCCATCAAAGGCGGCCTGGATGAAGTGGGAGTAGTTCTCCTCACTGGTGATATTAGTCTTAAACCAACCAGGTTCCACCAAATGAACGCTGATGTTCGAGCACTTCAGCTGTTGTCTGAAAAGTAAAAATAAGAAAAAACATGTATAACACAACTCATCCTAGAATTTTGCAAGGGGTTATTCAAAAGCGTATTGCCCCTTCCCCCGGCGTTTCTTTGTACATGTAGGGACTCCATACGGGATTTACCCGCCATAATGTATTTTCCTAATGAAACAGCAATTTTTGACCTGCTTACATACATACGAATTATTGTCAACACGTTATAACAGGAAGGAAAGTCTCCTTGGATCCCTTGTCCACTTCCCATTACTTTGTACAGGAGACATTCGTCTCATATACTAACCCCAATACTATACTCCAACTAACCCTAACCTGTATTAGTCATATGAAGTGGTGGATTTAGAGGGGGGGGGGGGG